AAGAGCAAGGCTGTACCAGTCCCTCATCACGGTGATGAGGGGTGGACAGGCATTGCCGATGGGGGAAATCGGTGGTGCTAGCGCCGAGCAATGGCCAGTCACTGCACCTCCCCCTACCCCCCCCCCAACCCCACATGGCGGTGTCTAATGGCCAATATTGTCGCTGCATAGCAACCAACAACATCAGCCAAGGTCCTGCCAATGCTGGCTTGGGGCCCCAACGGATTATCTCGAGCTGGTAGAACACCAAGCTTTCCCAGGCACGTACATGAGGCCAATGGGGATTGACCCCACGACCTCCTGAATGCAACTTCTGTGCCTTACCGAGCTAGGCCCACTACCTTTCACAGACAAACGCGAAGTTTCTGGTGGGGAGCTGCACCTGCTGGAAACCGGGTCCAGCGTCCCTTGAGTACATGAATGATATGCCTGATATGAATAACCATAGAGTTGGACAGAGGTGTGCCTCTTCGCCCCATTGGGGTGCAGATAAAAAAACATCAGCCTAGCACTACTCCCTCCCTTATCTACCAATCCTCATTTACAGGAAATACACGTAATACAATATTTCACCCATTCACCTAAATACACTCTTTTCAAGCCATTCAACTAATCTCAGATTCATTCGTACCCAAACCAGGCGCTTGGGACCTACTCAACGCCGAGGGGGGAAAGGGGTCTGGAAAAAAGGCAAACGCAAAGTTGAAGTTGTGCCTCATCCAAAATCTTTGGGGCCTTCGGGCAACCAGACCACAAAGGCTGGCAGAACCAGCCAAAAGAAAACAAAAACGCCTCGCTGGCACTTCGGCACCAATTAGTGCACATCATGACTCCGCCTTGGCAAAAAGAGACTCGAACGTACCACTGTCTTTCACAGGAAAACGTGAAGTCGAAGTTGAGCCTCATCCGAAATCTTCAGGGCCTCGGGTCTAGGGTCTACCAGACCAAGAAAGCTTGTGCGCCAGCCAAAATAAAGCAAAAACACCACACTGGTGCTTCAGCACCCATTGGCGCGCAGCGCAACGCTGCCTTGGCGAAAAGAGGCTCGGAGGTAGTAGTGGTTTGAATAGGCCGAGTCTTTTTCTTTTGTTTGTCTCTTTTTTGTTCTTGGAACAATTCTTTTTTTTCCCTTTTTTGTTCTTGAATAGTTTTCTACAGTTGGTTTTCTTGTTTTTCTTTTTTTTGAATGATTCACTTTATTGCAAACAAGGATAGTTGAGGGCATACTCACACGGGGGTCTATAACACCAAAATCCCAAAAAAAAGGGTACAAGGCCGGTCATACGGATCTACCAAGTTCGCAAATGTACTATTCCAGTGCCCAATTGTCAGCGGCCTGGGAAGCCGCGGGGCAAGGGATTTTGCGGTCACCTCTAGAGGTGACCACAAATGCCCTTTTTCATCTGTTGCATTTTTCTTCCAAAATTGGCAAAATTTCGTTCACAAAAGTTCTTGCACAATTAGTGGAGGGCGCGGTGTGACCAGCCAAGTACCAAATCCCCATCTCTCCAGACGGCTGTGACACCCAACCTCACGCCCGGCGCGACTTCCTGATGGGAGTGGGATGTGGGCCTGGAAGTACGAAAAGAGGTGTGCCAAGGATTTTTGGGGAAAGTGGGGATGGAGTCTCAAGTCGGAACTGAGATCTCCTGTGGCAAGGATTCAGGGGCATAGATGCAATAGGACTAGGGGGGGGGTTACTTTCGGTCTGATGGCGGTCGGTGTCGTGAAACTTAAGGCAGATGGCATGCGCGGTGCGTCAGAGGCCGTCCGATCCGTCGGTTTTGGTGACAGCGGTTCGGAAGGGGCTCGTGAGGGCTGCGGTTCTTAGAAGTCGGATCTTCGGGGGCAGACACGTGGCATTTGTCGCCACGTGTTATAGTTGGGCTCTGTAGTCCCTGGGGTTCGGGGGTGGCGGCGTCGTCTGCAGTTTCTGCACAGCGTGCGGGGCCAGTACGGGGCGATGGAATTCCACGGCACCACAGTGAGCTGGTGATACGGGAGGAGAAGACGGAAGGGAGGGAAGTTGGTAGTGATAACGACAAAGCCAGGGGATATGAAGTATTGCGTGTTATACGTAGTTGGGTAATCGGGGCACCTCGGATCGCTGGTTACGGCACAACGAAACTCCCTGGGGCACAATCGGTTCTTGGTTAGGCAGGGAAATTCCGGACGTCTCTGTCTGAGTTCTTCTCTTACCCAAGGTTTGAAGTACTCTGAGTCCCATGAGTCCGACATCTTGTCATTGCGGCGTAGTGGAAACCTTTCGCATGCATCTAACTAGCAAGGGGATTTCTTGATGCGATATCGAAAATTCCTATCTCTTTAGGTGCGTGGAGGAAGAAAAATTGCCGCCTATCCGATACTGAAGGTGTCAAATTCGTCAATGGTCGCGAATCAGCGCACGTGGATGCCCCGCCTATCGGATGCCGACGGTGTCAGATTGCGCTTACACGCAGCCCCACGAGGTATTCACTTGTTACTGGAAAAATGAGAGTCTAATTCCTCATGCAAAATCGCCACGTGCCATGGACAACTACCCAATAATCTAATCACTGCAAGCAATCATTCCCGAGAATGCAAGGTGTCATTATACATCAGACGTCAGAATTTCTATTATGTTTAACGACGTATCAAAAATGGCAAGCAAAGACGATAACCAGTCAAGAAGAACAACAATTATATCACACATTCATCCATTCATTCGACAAAACACACAATAGCTGAGATCAAGGTCACTCGCAAAACAAGTGTGGGCTGAAACCGAGACAAGGATTCCGAAAACAAAAGAAAACGGGTGAGTCGCCCTGAGGCGAGATCAAAATTTATATACAAAAGTAAAGAGGGAGATAAGACAAAAAAAATTGCAAATCCACGCCCATCAACCTCAGCTCTCTCTTCCTCCCTCTCTCTCTACGATGCGGACAGTCCGTCGTCGCGCACCAACCCACGAAGTCGTCACCCCGCTTAGTCCTCCTACACCCGTCAGATTCGCCCGCGCGCGACAGTCCGTCGTAGCTCCACGCGTCAACCTCGCGCATTCGGCACCAGCTCGTCGGGTCACCCGACTCCCACTTCAACTCACCTCTTACTTCGCTCGTGAGCTGACCCTCACTATCGCACTACCCCGAGCTTCCAACAACTGGTTAAGAGAGCTATCTAATCGCGCAACCGAAATTTATAGCGTGCATGCATACGCGAAGAACACAGAATTGCAAAGACTTAGAAAGGAGATTAGGAGAGGGAGCGCCTACGTTCTGCATGGCTAGACCGCGGCGTGGGGGACGTAGCCACTCTCCACTCATCGATCCGAGCATGCAGGCCGCAGGCTAACTAGGCACAGCAAAAGGGAAAGAGAGAGCGGGAAAGACGAAGCTCAAGAAGAAAGATACAGTTACAATGGCGCCCACCCAAAATTACAGTTACTTGCAAGATTAAGGGCACCGACTAATCAGAGCTCTGTTGCAACCGCAAAAAGAAGCGTGCAAGCAGAAGGCGTGGCGCGGCAAAAAGGAAATCCAAAATTCCAAATTCGAGGGCCAGTCGTATCCCCCGGATGTCTCCCCCATACGTCCGGTACCCCCATCGTCCGGGAAAAAAAGTTTTTTTTTTCGTAAAAAGAAAAGAAAAGAAAAATTCGGTTTTCGATTGTTAACTCGTGATTGACTGCGAATTTGAACATGACTCGAAGGCAAACGTTGCTTGTATTATTATGTTACATAACATGTATTTTTTTCAGATTTTT